GGGGGGGGGGCTTGTGGTCCTGGTGGCTGTTATTTTGCAATGTTAGAGGCAGTCCGTGGCAAACTGGCCCCAGAGGAAGGGTCGGACAAAGAGTGATTCAGATGAACATCCAACATTTTTGTCAGGGTACCTTTCCTGGAATAGGGAAATCAAGACACTTTCCTGGAGACAGGCCTGGAGAGGCAGTGCCTAGTGGTCAAGCCTTGGCTTTGGTTTTCAAGCCCAGAAAAAAACAACAACTCATGGTCAATCGACCTCCATGTGCGCCCACCACCTACAGAGCTATCAAGGTTGAATACTTTATAAGTCAAGTGACAGGTGAGGGAACCTCACAAGATGGGCTGATTCCTGGTGACACAAACTGATTCCAGGTAAATAGACAGAAAATGTTCACGTGACATTGGAGTGAATCTGTCAGGTCAACAGTTTCAGGCAGCAGCCAACATTACCTAAAATATCCAACATGCTGGCATTAAATGTATTACACGTATTACATTATGGAAAAGTAGAAAAACCTTAGCAGCAATCTCCAGAATTATACTCTTCTCTAGAACTGATTTTAAACTCTGATCTTTAAAATGTTGCAGTTCTTTAAAATATAGCACAAACTGATTTTAAACAGAAACGCACAGAATCAGCCTCCTTAAATCCCGATTAAGCCATTAATGCAGTCCTGTAGCTGTCAGACAAGTGTGTTAAGGAAAAAAGCTCAATATTTTCTTCTGAAAGTGAGACAGAAATATAAATCAGCACAGCACAAAAATGAAGACAATAAAATTATAACTTTGTTGCTTTCCACTGCAACAAACAAAAGGGGAAATATGGAAATGCGCCAACACACAAGAAGGCGCTTTTGGCTCATGTGTTTCTTTTTGACTGGGCTTGCCTGGCAGCTCGCTCCAGAGGAGGACCAACCATAGTGTGGGGAAACATACCAAAGTCCTGAGCTCAGCCCGAGTACAGAAGTCTTACGATTTGTCAGCAGTGTTATTTTTTACAGGGGCAAACCAAGTGGTTCTACATCTGCTCCTCAAGGGCATTCCTCCACTGCTGACCCTGAATAAACCCACAAGCGTTCGAGCTCCCGTTCTTGCATCAGCGTGTTACGTGCCTCTGATTTACAAAGTAGTATTTACCCCTGCTGTGGCTCACCAGGCATTTCACATGTAATGAGAAATACTCGTGAATTAAGCAGCACAGAGCCCAGTAAGTCGGTGTGCGGGCACGTAACGTGTAAATCCAGGCAAGGTTGGCCTATTTAAACACGTTTGTGGTTGTGTATATCAGACAGGAGGCGGAAATCTTTTCAGGAGTCAGACTGATAAACATGTCGGTGACATAACGTGGAAACACTGATCCCATTCATTAGGTATCGACACCAACAAAACATTCTGTAAAGCAAGGCATATCTCACACGTACTAAACAAATTCCTTGTGGTCAGGAGGAGATAGTGACCATTTTTCGCTGTCTCACAAGAGAGGTGGAGGTCTGGGTGAGATTAGCAGACTGGAGCCACTGCACTGTCCTCACCCCACAGTATCGTGGACGGAGGAAGTGGACAGAGTTTCTCCCAGGGTAGAACGGTGACCCCCTCGTCTTTGGAGTTCCTGCAGCACATCTTTTGAGTTCAAATGCAGACAGAAACAACAAAGAGGCTGTGCATGTGTAGATATGCTTTCCTTTTATGTGAACTTAATCTTAAAACTGTTGATTGCGCAGTACTTGTGGGATTCAATCGACTCGAGTCCACAGACTATGAGAAAGTAGGAATTTGTTTCCTGTTTTGAGGTTGTGTGAGATTTTAAGGTTTAATGTTATTCTTTTTGGGGTCTTTTGGTCAGAACATACATCATAAGAATGTTTGGAGCCAAAGTTTATCTAAGGAAAACAGAAACTCAATACCTATTAGTAGGGATGCACGATATTATCGGCATGTATCGGTATCGGCTGATATTAGCGATAAAGTTAAATATCGGCCATCGGCCATTCCATCAAAATAACTTGCTTATATAAAAGGTGCTGTTA